GGTTGAAGGGAGGGCAGGGGAAGGGGGAAAAATAAGAACCAAGAGAGATTATGTAAAGGTGCAAATTTCCAATAATGAATGTCATTATATTGTATACCTAAAATGTACCAATAAAATTCATTAAAAAAAAGAGTAAAGACAAAACTAGCTGGATGTGGTGGCACAGACCTGTAATCCCAGCATTCCAGAGGCTGAGGTGGGACTGCCACTAGTTTGAGGGCAACCTGGGCTACATAGTGAGTTCAAAGCCAGCTTGAACTATATAGTGAGGCCCTGTCTCAAAAAACCAGAAAAAGAATAAAGACAATACTGAAATTAGAAAAGTACAAACTACAGAATTTACTGGCTGACCTGTTACAATGATCATTAGATATACAGTTCAGGATGCTGATTATGTAATGGTCATGTGGTAGGCTACCATGGATTTTATAAGGTATATGTATTTTACATATATCTCCATCTAGTTTTCCAAATTTATATCGTTCTAAGAATTAGTCAGCTAGGCATAGTGGCACAGCCTATAATCGCAGCGCTCTGGGAGACTGAGTGAGGAAGATCACAAATTTAAGCTCAGCCTGGGTAACTTAAGTGACATTGTGAGACTCAGTCTCAAAAAAGGGGAGGGCTGGAGATGTAGCTCAGTGGCGCCATGCCTGCCTGGCAAGCTCAGAGTCCTGACTTTGATTCCTGGTACCAGAAAAAAAAAAGACTCAAATCAAAATAAAAAAGGGGGTTGGAGATGTAGCTCAGTGTGAAAGCCCTGTGTTCAATGCCCAGTACAAAAAACAAAACAAACAAAAGGCAATCCACATAAGACACACACACACACATTATTTCTCTTTGGACCTACTGAATATACAATCTAGGCAAGAGGATGGCAACTAATACAGCACCCAAGTAACTCATGAATCAGGTGGGTCTGGGGGACTGCTACTTCAATTTTCACAACCTTAGAGATAAGCATTTCTAGCTTCTCAGATAGGGAACAGTGGGTCACAAAAGAGTGGGCTGGAGATGTAGTTCAGTGGTAGAGCACTTGCCTAGCATGTGTGAGGCCTTGGGTTCAATCCACAGTACTGAAAACATAAGAAAAAATGCTGTTGGGTGCATTTTAATCAATCATTTTTCACAGGGGCAGGGAAGATTTTAGATGTGATCCTGGAGCTAAATCAAGAATGAAGTTCAGTTGGAGTCTAAAACAGATGCCAGTGGAGGCCAGGCAAGAAGCCAACCCCTGAGCTCCACTACCTGAATGCAATGCGGGAACCAGGCCCTGTGCAGCCAGGTGATTCTCCGTGGAGTGTCACACATCTTAAATGTTGGAAATTAGTAAAAGCTGTAAAAAATATAAAAACAAACCATCTAAGTCAAATCTCATCTAGAGGATGCTAGTTTTGTGAGTTAGCTCCAGAATTTGTTACCTAGGAGACGGGAGGACAAAGGAGCACCAGGAATTTCATGAGGCCTCAGTGTGTCAGTTCACATCATGACTAGGAACTCCGTGGTGTTTTGAGCATGCCAATTCATGTCACGACTGCTGAGTGAGGCAAACTTCTGCTTTAGGGACCAGAGCCATGCCTTTCTCCTCCATTGGTATGACGGTTCAGGCAGGGGCAGGCTGGCTTAACCCTACCAATGTTCTTTTGCTGGTCCACAGATCAAATATATGCAAGACTTGCAGGACAGAACTGATAAGATGGATTTCATTTATAAAGTGATGTAAATACCATTTGGAGTTGGGAAATAGCTCCAATTTTATTCATAAAATTATTAATCAATCACAAAAGTAGATTTACAGAGCCATATATCAGTAACAAAACAGAAAGGCGATGAAACATTGCAGAGACATTTTGAAAAGTCCCAGCAAAGAACAGGCTAGGCTAGACATCTGCAGTTAAATCATGATTGCAGGACAGGTTATATTCACTCCTGCATTTTCCCAATGAGCTCTTGTATTTGCCTTTCTCTTTTTCAACTTGTCGAGACTTGGCTTTGCGTTCAAGAATTTTTTTTCTGTCTTTGTCCAGTTTTAGCCTGGTGATAATTACCTGTTAGGAAAACCAACAGATCTTTAGGTATGAAGAACTTATAATCACCACCATCCCTAGCTGAGAATGTAATCCCAACACCTGAGAACCTGAAACAAGAAGGCTGCCACGAGTTCAAGCCAGCCTGAACTACATAGGAAGACTCTGTCTCAAAAAACCAACCAACCAACTAACCAAACAATCACCATCATCCTGAAGACCAGAGCATCCCCTGACAATAAACACCACTTAGGTACCTTTTTATACAATTTATTTTATTTTATTTATTTATTTTTGAGACAGGGTCTCGCTATATAGTTCAGGCTGGCCTTAAACTCACTATGTAGCCCAGGCTGGCCTTGAACTGGCAAGAATCCTCCTGCTTCAGCCTCCCAAGTGCTGAGATTACAAGCAGGTGCTACCATACCTGGCTCCTTTTTATACTAGCCAGCCTCCCACCCTGCTAATTCTTGGGGATTCAGCTGACCATTTAGATAGATCAGTGATATGTCACTTGGGTTAAGAAAATTTGTTCATTATTCCTTGGCTGGAAAGATGCACTGCTTTAAAAAATATCTACATGCCCAACAGCTACTGGGTAATACAGAGATTAGAAGGACAAGACCCTGACCATTCTGCCTTTAAAATGTGTAACTCAGGAAAAAGACAGATCCTATAACACAATATAAAACAAGAGTGCAAAAGCAGAACAGCGTATCCTACCAGATGGGCATGAAGGTCCCAGGAGGAGATGTTCCCCTTCTCCCTCTAGACACTGTCCAGTGGGACAGTGATGCTCAGATGCCTGGAGCCATCTTGCCACCACCTTCAAGTTATCACCAGGATGGCAAAACAGATAACCAATCAAGCCTGCTTGCTAAGCCCTTACTTTGGCCACCTGTGCAGATGGTACCACGTGCCAATAACTCTACACCATTTACATGGCTGCTGCCACCACTCAGTCAGGGACCATACCTTGCTTGAGTGAATGCCCACATGGATGGTTGGGCCATTAGCCTTCTCATGCTGCACTTGCTCGATGTAGATGACATATTTCTTTCTGTACACCTGAAAGACCTTGGCAATTTGCTGACCTTTGTAGTGTCCTCGAACCACTTAAAAGAAAGTACAAAAGAGAACCCATTCTTAATAGATGAAGGTCATGACGAGGAAGCTAATTGTCCTCATGTAGGCTATGAATATAACCTTTTATACAAAAACAGATTAAGCCCTGGCAGTCAAAACCCAGTGCTATTTGTGGTATAAACTTGCTTTGTGTTTTGCCAGGTTGGCTAGAAATTTTTCATTTGAATTTTTTTCTTCTTTGATCTGAAGAACAACAAAAAACCTCTTTGGACTAGGATGGTCACCACAAAACTAATCCTAATAATTAAAAAAAAAACAACTTCTCAAGATCTAAATATAGGAAAGTAGTTAAAGATAATAAAAAAGACATATTTTATTACCTAGGGAAATGATCCAGATATGTGTTTTCGAGAGAAAGAAGAGACATATGTGTGTATACATATACTCTGAGATTCATATATATAACATTTAATGCAGTGGAATGAATAGTAATCTCAGCAGGAAGTAGGATTACAGATGATTATTGCTTTAAATTTATATTCTTCTAAATTTCAAGATTTCTACTATCCAAATAAATCTCATGTGCTGTTTCTGTATTAAAGATCTACTCTATTTAAAAAATTTAAAAAAAGAGTAAGGAAAAAAAACCCCTAAACTAGGACAGAATGGCAGTGTGTATCTATAATTCCAGCTGCTTGAGAGGCTGAGGCAGGAGGATCAGATCACAAGTTCAAGGCCAACCTGGGCAATTTAGGGAGACTCTGTCTCAAAAAAAAAAAGAAAAGAAAATGGTTTTTGGGCTAGAGGTATAACTCAATGGTACAGCATGTGTTTTATGCACTAGCTCCAGGGTTCAATCTCTAGTACTGCAAAAACAACAACAATAACACACACACACACAAAAAAAACAACAACAAAAAAAGACTATGGTTTTCCTGAAGGCCTGTTAAACAGTAGATACAGTATAAGTGACACTGATTAATAAACACAGAAGAAATATAATATACAAACAACTAGAGAGCTAAATATTTCTAAATCGCCTATCTAGATTGTTCAGCTTACTCTCCAAGGTGATTTTCAGGTTGAAAGGAGGACAGCCACGGCTCACTGAAAAACCCACACAGGTCTGTGTAAATAAAGACCATCAGGATACACTTGGCTGGCTATGCCTCTCCCAGAGGTATGGAACACAGAGAAGAACAGATTTAAGGGAAAGATCATTTAGTTTGGACCATGTTGAATTTGAGGCATCTGTTAACACTGCAGGAGGGAATCTGATAAACCCCTGGAAGGCCATACAAAGACATACAATTTAAAGCCTTATTTTACTCAGGGGGCTTGTGATATGAGAGGATAGAAAACAAAAAGATGAGCCACATCAACATTCTAGAAAAGCTTAAAGGAGACTAGAGAGGCCAGAAAGAAAAGGAAGCCACAGGCATATGTGTTACAGTAGCCAAGAGAATGTCAAATGCCATGAACTGTCAAGTCCAGGGCAGATAAAATATTTGATAGATGTAGAAAGGTGACTACAGCACTTCCAGGGGAGAAGGTGTCGTGGACAGCGTTCACGGGAGGGCGATGAGTACACCGTATGAGAAGGGGAAATGAGAGAAGACAGAGCCACAGAGCCTGGCTCTGAAGATGAGGGGACAGATGTTCTAGGGGGCATGAAGTTAAGGGACTTTTTAAATTTTTTTATTTTTACTTTTTTGGTACCGGGGATTGAACTCGGGTCCTTGTGCTTGCGAGGCAGGTGGTGGAGCCACTGAGCTAAATCCCCAGCCCAAGGGACTTTTTTTTTTAAAAGACAGGTAAACATAAATGTATTTAAATGCCCATGAAAAGGGACAAGTACAGAGGAAGAGGGTGAAAGAAACTATAGAGAACAAAGATAATAAACAGAAAGATCTCCAAGAGGAGAGAGGAGAATGCAGGATTAAAGCACACAGTGGCAGATGGATTAGGTTTAGATGGTGTTATGGCTTTTGTCTAGGCGTCCCCCCAAATTCTCACATGGTCATAAGTAGGGCTTTTCAGAGATGGCTGGATCTAGAGTGTGTGATGCTGGGATCAAGGGTGTGTGATTACTAAATCAGTGACTGGTTTAGCATAGTTCTGGGTATGGATAATGGGAAGGCCCTCCCGAGTATGAGTGCTACCCACCCTGAGGGCAGGGACATAGTCTGGATAGAATATAAGGGACAGAAAGAGGGCTGCTCCCATAGCTTGCTACTTCTTTGCTATGTCACTGCTCTGCTACCTTCTGCCCACTGTGAACTGTTTCTTCTCTGTGACGCCCCTCTGCCAGGCCACCCTGTCTTGGAGCCAGCCAACTACCGACTGAAACCTCTACAAACTGTGAGCCAAAATAAACCTTTCCTCCTTTAATTTTGGGTGTTGAGTATTTTGTCTCAGCAATGAGAAAAGTAACTAAGACAATATACTAGCAAATCTAATCCACCATTGGATTTTTCTAATATTAGGATCTATTACAGGTATGCAAGTTGAGTTCAACAGTAGAAAATCAATTTATGTAACCAGAAAGAGGGATAGCCCTTTCATTGTAACAGGAGGGAATAATGACAATGAAGTCGAATTATAAGTAAGTTAGTGGCTGTGGAATCAGGAGGTTCCAGGCTGACAGCTGCAGTTTTCTCTGTAAAATAGGAGGAAGCTCCAACTTCTTAAAGAGGTAAGTGAAGTTCAGAAGACATCAAGAGAAAGCCCAGTGTGGAAGTGTGACCAGCCCTGCTACTCAGGAGGCAGGAAAAAGATCACTTTAGTCTAGGAGTTTGAGAACAGCCTGGGTAATGTATGGAGACCTTGTCTTAAAAACAAAATGAAATAAAACCTCTCTCCCAAAACAAAACAAAACAAAACAAGGTAATCCCAAAAGAGAAGAGGCAAGTTTTTGTTACTGTTTTGTGGTATAAGGATTGAACCCAGGGCCTTGGCAAGCACTCTACCACTTAGCTATCCCAGACCTTTTTTTTGAGACAGGGTCCTGTTCAGTTGCCCAGGCTAGCCTCAACATGCAATCCTCTTGCATTAGCCTCCTAAATACTGGGATTACAAACTGGCACAACTGTAACTGCCAGAAAAGTCAGTTTTAACAAATTCAGTTGAGGGTATTTTATTTTCCTAATGGAGAAAGATGGCCTTCGAACTCAGAGACCTGAATTCCTAGCTGCAGTACTAATTTCCTGTATCATTTTTTTTTTTTTTTTTTTTAGTACTGGGGATCGAACTCAGGTCCTTGCACTTGTGGGGATCCTGTATCATTTAACTTGAGTATACAGAAACACAACTCATACCTCAGAGGCATCCAAAAAACAGCCTATTTGCCCTACTCCTCCTTTAACTCGCCATCCACACCTTTTTAGTCAGTATTTTTTCCATCCATTCAACTTTTTTTTGTTTTTTTTTTGGTACCGGGGATCGAACTAGGGTCCTTGCGCTTGTGAGGCAGGTGGTGGAATCACTGAGCTAAATCCCCAGCCCTTCAACAAGTTATTGACTGAAAATCCTACTATGTGCCAGGCTCAGGTAGCAAACAAGACAAACTCTTTGGCCTCTTGGAGCTTAGCCTAATGAGTATAGTAGTAGGCTGTTAATAAATAATTAAGGTAACAGCTACCTGAGCATTTTATGTATATATATTAAATATGTTATGATCAAATTTTTTTTTCTTTTTAAATGACCATGGATTGTGTTCATGGCTATGAGGGGGGAAAAACAAAGTATATAATACTATAATATATATAAAAGGATAAGGGAAAGCTTTTCTGAGGAACTGATATTTAAGACAAAACCAGAAAAATGAGGAATCCAGCCTGGTGGTGGATGCCTATAATCCCAGCATTCTGGGAGACTTAGGCAGGAGGACTGCAAGTTTGAGCCCAGCCTGGGCAATTTAGCAACTCTGCAAGACCCTGTCTCAAAATAAAAAAAATACAAAAGGGTTGGGGATGTAGCTCAGTGTGAAGGCTCTGGGTTCAATTCCCAGGCACTGGAAAAGAGAGAGAGAAGTTAGCCAGGTAAAGGGAAGAGAAACACTCCAGGTAGAGGGAGAAAGATCAAGGGCCATTTAAGGACCTAAAAAGGCCAGTGTGATGGAAAGTGGAAATCAGCTCAAGACTTATTGTGGAGATAAATCAACAAGACTTGTTGGTAGATTAGAAGGGAGGAGGGTTAGGGAAAGTTGTTAAGGATAACTTAAAGGTTTATGGCATTTGTAACTGGGAAGGTCTAAGTATCACTTACTGAGTTGTGGGAAATGGGAGAAGAATCAGATTTTGGAAGCATTGGGGGTGTTAGTATCAAGAGTTCTTGGCTATGAAACTTCAGGTGTCTATAAGAGATCCAGAGATGTTTGGCAGGTAGGCAGATCTGTAGATCTGGGCTCAGAGAAGTGAATCAAGGGGATCAGGGTCTCAGTCAATACTTGTTGAATGAATGAAAAAATTACTGACTGAATGGCTGTGGAAGGTGAGTTAAAAGAGGATCAGGGAAATATGCCACTTTTTGACTGCCTCTCAAGTATGAGTTGTGTTACCTGATAAAAGAAGGAAGCACAGAGCAGACATTTAAAGCTCTGAGAATAAAATACTACCTATTTCCATATATGCCTACATAGAAAAAATAGGGCAAAAAGAGATGCTAGACCAGGCCCAGCCCCTGACGATGTGTAAGAGACAGGGATTAGAGAGAGAAGACATAGTCAGCACAAGAGTCTGACAAGATGAAAGCAAACTGTGAGCATGAAGTGTCCAAAAGCCAGAGAGACCATTTCAATTTAGGTGGTAGCACCTATGTCAAATGCTGCTGAAAAAGTCAAGTATGTATGACAAGACCAAAATGTGTCCTCTGGATTTAGATACAAAGAGGTTACTGGTAACCTCTGCCAAAAGTAGTTTTTAAAAAGAAGTAGGGATACAGATGAGACTGGAGGGAACCTAAGAGTGAATGGGAGATGAAATACAGGCAATTTTTTTTTGAGACAGTGTCTTGCTATATAGTTCAGGCTGAATTTGAACACACTGTGTAGCCCAGTCTGGCCTTGAACTTGTGGCAATCCTCCTGCCTCAGCTTCCTGAGTGCTAGGATAATAGGCATGTGCCACCATGCCCAGCTAGACAACTCTTGAAGAGTTTGACTCTGAAATGGAGAAGAGAGTAGGAGCTGGATGGATATGCAGGGCTGCAAGAGAATCTGAATTTTTCATTTCTCTTGCAAATTGAAGAATCTGACAGCACTGAGACTGCATTTCTCCCAGGTTGCAATGGGCTGAAAGTGCATGACTATTTCCTTCAAATGAAGCCTGAGCTTTCCAGGTTAACATTTTCTTATCCACTTTTCTCAGTCCACTTTTCTTCCTTCATTTGTCTGCCTAGCCCCTATAAGCGTTTGCAGTTCTCTCATTCTAGAACGTGCTTAACAGGAAGGATCCAGAAGAGACTGTAACTATTGATCACACATCTGAACTACACTTCCCACTTCTGTCACATCAGCCTTACTTATCTTCAATATAGGGCCGGGGATTTAGCTCAGTGGTTCTGCCGCCTGCCTCGCAAGCGCAAGGTCCGGAGTTCAATCACTGGTACCAAAAAAAAAAACAAAAAAACCCCAAACAAACTTATCCTCAATATAACCCTCAACCTTTAAAGAATCCAGTTTCTCTGATGATACACTGAACTCCATCACATTATCTCCTTTCATTTTCTAAAACGATGCTTCTCAATTGGAGAAGAGTCAATTTTGCCCCCAAGGAGGCATTTGGTAGTATCTGGAAATATTTTTGCTTGTCAAAATGGCAAAAGGGGGAGAAGTACTACTGGCGTCTGGTGGGGGAGAAGCCAGGAATGCTGCTAAGCAGTCTACAATGCACAGGGCAGTTTCCCTCCATAATTACCAGGTTCAAAACGTCAACAGTACGGAGGCTGAGAAGCCACGCTCTAACACTGTGAGCTCCATGGGAATACGGGGCTTTGTCAAACTTGCTCTTTGCTGGTATCTAGACCAATGTCTAAGTGCTCAATAAGTATCCCTTCCACTGGGGAATCTAACCCCAGTTATTTCCTTCACCCTCAACATCATTTTCCCTCCCATACATCCTAAGCTCAGGGCCGGGGATTTAGCTCAATGTCACCAAGACTGCCGTGCAAGCGTAAGGTCCTGAGTTTGATCCCCAGTACCAAACCCCCCCCCCAAAAACCCAACTCATAAATCCTAAGCTCCAATCACAGAAAATAGAAGACATGCTTTCACACATGGGCTACAGTGGTTCATAATTTTGCACCTCTGACGTGCTGTTGCTTCTCCATTTTTCCCACCAAATCTAGTACCTTCCATGACCAGCTCCTACAGCCCTGTCCATCAAACACACTAAGCTCAACCTACTCTCACAGAAGCCTTTCCCCTGCTTAGATTGGTTCTAAGAGCGCCCCCCACCCCCAGCAATACCTGGCAAACTAAACACCACAGGACAAACTTTTTTTTTTACGCAGTTTTTTTTTGTTTTGTTTTTTTTGCTTACCTGGTTTATTTTATTTACTATTACTAAAGACCTGCGGGCACTCTTTAGTGGCTCTGGGCTCCACCTCTGGTATAGCACATTAACAGAGTTAAAGGTCTTGCTAGAGTCTTCAGGACCTGACGTTCCCTGACTCCTCCAGGTCCAAGCACATAGGATGTTTTCATGCAAAGGAAGTGGCCACACGCCACACAACTGGGTAACTAGAACCCGAGGAAGATGGGGGATGTACGTGGACCTCATCATCCCCGGGTTTGGGCATGGAGCGGACGTTGTATTTCTCCCGCAGTTCCTTGGAAAGAGAAGACATGATCTTCCGGCGCACGTGCGAGGGGGCACTGAAATGCACTTGCGGATTTTGCTGCAGTCAGAGGTCAAGAAGGGGTTGAACTTCATGGTTACAGTCTGCAAAGGGCGGCCAGAGAAGGAGGCGCTCAGTGGGGTGGAGAGGCTTCTTCTTCATCCAAAGCACCTTCCCCATCCCCGCGCAAGTGCTCTAAGGGAAGATCAGTCCTCGAGGATGATTAGGGGAAGTACAGGTGTGAGTGTGCGAGGGGTCTGGGAGCTGCACAAAGTCAGACTGGCGGAGGAGGGGGCGTGACCTAAGGGGTGTGGTGGAACGAGAACAGCACTGGCCCTTGAAGCTGAGGAGCGCCTGGGCTACAGAACGCATTGTTGGGGTTCGCGCAGAGAGGCGCGTGTCCTCAAGACACACAGAGAGAAGGGTACTACTTCACGCTCCAAACAAAAACTGGGTTTCACTCACTTCCCAGGCGCCGGCAGGTTCCGGCCAGGTGCGCGCAGAGTCGGAAGTGACATTTCCTTGTGGCGCAAGCGCAGAAAGATACCAGGGACCCATTCCTGCTGGAGAAAAGCAGAATGGCGCCCTCTGCGGCCTGGGGTGGGATCGCAGTGCCTCTTTCCACCCTCCTAGGGAGCCTAACAGGTGTCTGTCTCCAAATCGCCGTCATCCTTCAGTTTTCCGAGCGTTGGGATTATAGGCGTGCATCACCATGCTCGGCTTGATGCTCATTTAATAGGCGCCCTGTCAGTTGTTCTTACCTATCCAAAACTCTTTGCCCTTGTTGCCTTCCACAAAGGAGACTGCAGAGGTCGTCTGGATATTTACTGTGCAGTTGTACTCAATATCAATTACCAAAGTTAGCAAACTCTACAGGTGTTCACATCCCTTACATATAACGGCATAGTATTTGCATACGACCTACAAACACCCTCCTATATACTTTGTCATCTTTAGGTGACATACATAACACCCAATACAATGTAAATGCCATGTAAATAGTTGTTATACTGTATCGCCTAGGGAGTAAGGAGAGGAAAAATAAATCAGTACAGACACATTTTTTTCCTGAACATTTTCCATCTCTGAATCTGTGAATGTAGAACCTGTCCATACCGAGGACCAGTGCTCCCTCTAACTGCCACCTGTAGACTTGTTTCTTCAAAATCACTAAGAAGCCTCTTCAAAATGCAAATGTTCAGGCCCTATCACAATCCTAAAAACAAGACAGTGGTAGGTAGGGGTCAAGTTTGAGTATTTATTCATTCACTTAATTTTTTGGTGGTGGAGATTGAACCTGGAGCCTCATGCATAAGCACACACTGTACCACTGAGCTACACCCAAGCAATCTGACTTTAAATTTATTTAATTTTTTTTTTTTTTTGGTACCGGGGATTGAACTCGGGTCCCTTGCAGGGCAGGCAGCGAAACCACTGAGCTAAATCCCTGGCCCCTGACTTTAAATTTAAAGCAAGCACCGTCTCCCCTCCCAAAGATTTTGAGGTGTACCAATGTTTAAGGATCGTTGTTAACCAAAAATCTGGCTTTGCAAAACTCTCCCTCTTGCCAACTTGTTTAGCCCTTTTCAAAAGAGCTAGGGATGCAGAGTCAGACCTCCATCCAAGGCCCTTTTCTAATCATTACTGGACCTTGAAAGATGGCTTTCATGTTTCAGCCTTCAGTTTTCTCATCTGTAAAATGAGGATGGTTTTATTTTATTTTTTTAAAAATATGTATATTTATTGGTACATTTTAGGTATAAAATACATTTACATTTATCATTGGGTGTTTGTACCAGAACATGATGCATCTTAGTTTTTATTTTTACTCCCATTACCTGTGCACCCTTCACCCCCTCCACCCTTCCCTATCTACACAGAGTTTGATTCCATTTTTTTCTCATAATTTTTTTCTTTGAGGATGGTTTTAGTAGGCACCTCATAGTGTTGTTACCGAGATTAAATGAGTTAATCCATTTAGAATGTGTACTCCATTTAGAGTACCTGGCACATAGTACTGAATTCCAGTCAGATTTTTCTTAATGAAAGGGGGTTTGTGTGTGGGACTTGCTTCAGGATAGTCCTAAGGCCAGGCCTCATGTTTATCTGAGGGCTCATTTTCAGACTTTTATCATTAATCCTGATGGCCTAAGTGTTAGCTTTCTGTATTTAATATAAGTGGGCAACCTGCCACTCTGGCTGGAGTGCAAGGTGTGTGCTACCGCTACCATTTTTAAAATTTAAATATTTGTAGGGGGAGAGGACACAACACTTGCATTCAATTAAAAGAAATGTTTTTACAGTCCAGAGGCCCCCCCCTCCCCGTGTTAGGGATTGAACCCAGGGCCTTCGCATTGACCTACACCTCCAGCCTCTTATTTATTTTATATTTTTAAATATGTCTCTCTAGCTGGGAGTGGTGATGCATACCTGTAATCTCAGCCCACGGGAGGCTAAGAGGATTCCCCATGAGTTCGAGGCCAGCCTGGGCTACCTAGGGAGACCCAGCGTCTAAGTCACTAAGTCAGTAAATTGCCCAGGCTGGGCTCGAGCTTGCAGTTCTTCTGCCTCAGGATCCCAGAATACTAGGATTACAGGCATGTGCCACCACGCTAGGTTTAGGGAATTTTAAAAAATACCTAATGTGCCCTGAATTCACAGGGAATAGGTTCCAGCAGCTCGAGCTCCTTCCCATTGGTTCTCACAAAGCGCGCATCTCTGGGCCGACTAGTCTGGCTTCATTCTTTTTCTGACCACTATCTACCTTTCTACTTTTTTTTTTTTTTTAGCTGTGAGAGCTTTGGAAGAGGACCAATTACTTTCCTGGGACTCCGTGGCCATCGCCCCGCCCCTCTCGCTAGCCCCGCCCACAGCGCCGTGCCACCCACCCGGGTCCTCAGCCCCGCCCCGCAGCGGGCCAATTCCGGAGTTGGACGTCTGCAGGGAGGCAGGCCCCACCCCACTGCTCCTCACATGGAGATGCCCTGCGGGACCTGGGGTCTGAAGTCTGCGGTCTGGGCAGCGCTATGCAGGAAACACCCACCCACGGAGGCGCCGCCTTCACTAGGCTAAGAGGGAAGGGAAAGGCTTTGAGCTTCCTCTATTCTCCCCCTAGGGACCCAAGGGCTTATTCTATGAAAGTTCAAAAGCCTTCATTCGGGCTGGGGATTTAGCTCAGTGGTTTCGCCGCCTGCTGCGCAAGCGCAAGGACCCGAGTTCGATCCCCAGTACCAAAAAAAAAAAAAAAAAA